TCTCAAACCTAATTTGTATTTATTTTATTCCAAACAGAAGTGTTTATTTATTATTCTGAAAGCTCGAGACAGTGCCAATAGTTCAGTGATATTTTGTTACAATGTGCACACCCCGCAATAATTTAACAGAAGTGCTTATTTTTTATGTGAAATTTTATTTTTGTGGTCATTTTTATTAAGATTTTATTTTTTATCAGCGGAGAATAAATGTTATGTGTGTGTGTGGTTAAAAGTATCGGCAAGTAGTCAGATCCAAGTATCGGTATCGTATTGGTTTGAAAAAATTGGTATTGGTTGCATCCCTAATTTGTACTCCTGCAAACTTTTCGTTTCCCCACAAACACCAAGTACATTTATGATTACGCTAACTGTTTCTCTGCTCGTTGCAGCTGCTCCGACCGAGGTCCCAGGCTGCTCCAAGTATTTCCAGTATGAGTGCAAAAATGGGCGTTGTATCCCCACGTGGTGGAAGTGTGACCTGGAGAATGACTGTGGGGACTGGTCTGATGAATACATTTGTTCAGGTACGACATCGTTAGCTCTGACAGTCGAGCTCCATCAGAAACCTCAGAGTTCGAGCAGCTCACCACCCTGATTTAACAAAACTAGATGGTAGTTTTGTTAACAGTGAACATCAACATGAGTAAAATGTGTATAAGGATCTTTATCTGTTCCTGCCAGTCTCCTGCCTTTAGGTTTCCCATGTATGTTTTTGTGAGGCTGAGTAGGTCCAGGAGAAGAGCCACGCTACCATCCTGTCTGATTATTAGCATGAACACCTATTTTATGTTGTTTTCTAGTATTTGGTTTATCTGAGTAAATCGGGATTTCAAATTGGCTTCTTGAATGAACCAGTTTCTGCGTCTTATCCCTGCAGGTGGTTCAGATCCTCACACTGTGGCCCCCGGCCCCTCCACGTGTGCGCCCAACCGCTTCCACTGTGGCTCAGGGGCTTGCATCAGCAACACCTGGGTGTGCGACGGCTATGCTGACTGCCCTGACGGCAGCGACGAGTTTGGATGTCCGACAGGTACTGATTCTCGCTGCTGATTGGCTCAAGTTTTCTTGCAGAAGACATAATAGTTTATATTTTACAGCTTTTGGCCAAACTGAATGAACATCTTCCTGAAACAGTCCACATAACTGAACCCATCCACACATCCACGAACTGAAAATACACGAAACTGTCTGAAGCCTGGACTTTTTGCTTATTTGAGTTATTGTAACCTGAATAATGAGCATGCACGGTTAGAGATGTGCGTCCACACTTTATATAACAGGACATAATGCTGAGTAACAGTGTTTCTCATTTTCCTGACAGCAGTTAATGGCTCTGTGACTCCTGCCTTGGTACCCACTGAGAACCCTCATTCCCCCGATCGCTGCAGCCGGAGTCAGTTCCAGTGTCAGCGCCCCGCCCACTGCATCCCCGACTGGCAGCGCTGCGATGGACACGCCCACTGTCAGGATGGCTCTGATGAAGCACACTGCCGTGAGTATCTGTACGATGCATTTGCAAAATACACAAACACACAGAACTCGGACGACGGAGGAACAATCATAAAACAGACGGCGTTTTAAATGAAGACAATCGAAAGGATTTTTAGCAGGATTACGCCGAGTTCTCACCCAAAGCCTCGTCATGAGTTCAAGCCTGCCAGACGCTCTGTTGGGCTGCAGAGTGATCCTCTCTGTGGAGTACAGAAGTTTCGTTTCAATACTTCCTCCTGCAAATGCACCATGGTCTCCGTGTTGAGCTGAACCATATTTGATCATTTCACAGGTCTCACATAAAACAGGAAGTTGGAACTAAAGTTTGTGTGATGGCACTTTTAAGCTCTGCTGTGATAATCTCAGATGTTCATATTTCATGTCTGGGCTTCACGTGCACTGAACTGAAAGCAGAAAGCTTCCAGAACAGAACACGTGTCCTTTGTCTACATATTTATATGTGAGATGTGCTTATAAGGATTTAAATGGATACATTTTGAATGGAAAAATTGATAAATCTGAATTTTCAGCCTGAACATTTCATTAACATCCAACAAAACAAAAATGTGATGAGAAACAACTAAACCAAGAAAACGACTTTGAAATAGTCCTCGTGTGGCCGAGGCCGTCATTCTTCTTTCTGCCACGATTTTAAGATTCGAGTGTCATCGCATGAGCGTCATGCTCCCATGCAGTGAGCATTTCATCTGAAGCCTGTGTGTGTCTGCAGCCACCCACGGGCCTCTGTCCTGTGTTAATGGGACTCGCTGCTCTGATGGTGAAGCCTGTGTGCTGGACAGTGAGAAGTGCGATGGCTTCCTGGACTGCTCCGACCACAGTGATGAAGATGGCTGCACCGGTAGGTCCACGCTAACCTCGTCCTTAGTTTGCTTTATT